GAAATGCAGAATCACAGGCAGCCTCAGTTCTACAGAATCAGAATCTGCATTTTAAAAGATCTCCAGGTGTTTCCTATGCAGATGAAAGTTTGAGATGCTCTGATCTATACAACAGGAGTGGTGTTAGTAGTAATAGTACGAGTATTAGTTATTGCTCTAGATATACGCACCTAGTACAAGAAAACATAAATAAGGTCTTAAGCCAACAAGCAAAATCTTAAGGGGGGAAAAAAAAACCAGCCACTTCACCCTTAACCACACCAATAACACATCCTCTGCTTCTTGCTTTGTCTAAGTACTTGTAACTTTGGAAAGTCACTATGAGAGGCAAATGAAGCCTGGTGGTAGGAAATATATGCCTCCTTCGTTGAAATATTAAACCTTGAAGAAACTGTATGTTATAACCTGTGATCGTTTTGCCACAACATTATGTTTTGTTTTTACAGGGCCACAGTTCAGAGACTGTATCTCTTACAATTTCTGTACCTTATTGACACCATGAGAAAAACTAGAGTTATCCTTGGTCCACTAGCTGCGATTAGAATCACCTGCAGAGCTTTATAAACACAATGTCAGGCCCCACCTCAAACCAATTAGAATCTTTTCAGTGTAGACCACAGACATCAGGACACCTGATGCTTTAACACATCTCAGGTGATTCTAAATTTAAGTTGCTCTTCGGAACTTGTATTAGTCGTTTTCACACTGTTGTAAAGAAATACCCGAGACTGGGTAACGTTAAAAAAAAAGGTTTAAACGGACTCACAGTTGCACATGGCAGGGGAGGCCAGGAAACTTAGAATCATGGTGGAAGGGGAAGCAGACACGCCTCACACAGCAGTAGGCGAGACAGTGTGTGAAGGAAGCAAAGGGGAAGTGCCTCTTATAAAACCTCAGATCTCGTGAGAACTCACTTACTATCATAGAACAGCATGCGGGAAACCACCCCCATGATCCAATCACCTTTCTCTCTCAACATGTGGGGATTACAATTCAAGATGAGATTTGGGCGAGGACACAGCTAAACCACACCAGAACTACTGGGTGAAATTAAGCAAAGATTGTTCCCCTTTTTCAATTATATGTTTTATGAAAAATATAATTCTCTACCAAAATAATTAGTATATAGCAATTACTAATTAATCCCTTTGAAAACTTCTGTACCTCAAAAAATTCACAATAAATGTCAAATGATAATCTAGGAAAGACATTTTCTACATACAAAAAAATCCAAAGGGTAATATTCTTAATATATGAAGAATATGTTAATATTCTTAATATAAATTACTGTTTTTAATATGTAAGAATATACATATTTTAATATATAAAATATAAATATTCTTAGTATAATATTCTCTTATGAATCAATGAGGAAAAAAAATTCCCCTGGGGAAAAAGTGCTAGGTAACAAAGAAAAAAGAATTGAAAGAAAAGCAAACAGCAAATAAGCATGAAAATATTTAATCTTTTTAGTAATCAAAGAAATGAACTTAAAATAACAACTAGATAAAATTTTCTACCACCGAAATGGAAAAATATGTATGTATAACAAGCAATATTTGTGAGATTTTTGAGAAATTGGTCATTTTTAACTGTGAATGGGAATGTCAATTGGAGCAAACTTTCTGTAAGGCAGTTCGGTCCTACTTATCAAAACCCTAAAATATTCATGACCTTGGATACAGCAATTTCACTTCTGGAAATTTGTTTGGGAAAATAATTAAAGATGTGTATGAAGATTTAGTTACAAGACTGTATTGATGTCAGTACTATCTTCAATAAAGAAAAGTTGAGATAATAAAGGAAAACATTCAACAATAGACCATGGTCTACATCAAACATGAAGCCTCCATTCTGTAGCTACTTGAAATGATGTTGCAGAAGTCTGCCTACTGATATGAAAAAAATTCATGACACGTGGTGCCATGAAGAATCATGTTATACAGATGCTGAGGAGGATGTGGAGAAATAGGAACGCTTTTACACCACTGGTGGGAGTGTAAATTGGTTCAGTCACTGTGGAAGACAATGTGGTGAATCCTTAAGGATCTAGAAATAGAAATTCCATTTGACCCAGTATATAACCAAAGGATTATAAATCATCCTACTATAAGGACACATGCACACATATGTTTATTGCAGCACTATTCAAAATAGCAAAGGCTTAGAACCAACCCAAATACCCATTAATGATAGACTGGATAAAGAAAATGTGGCACATATACACCATGAAATGCTATGCAATCATAAAAAAGGATGAGTTCATGTCCTTTGCAGGGACATGGATGAGAGTGATGAGGATAGAGCAACACTTTCTGAGTATACCATTTTGTATAGCTCTGGCTCTTAGAAATATAATGATATTTGGCCAGGCACAGTGGCTCATGCCTGTAATCCCAGCACTTTGGGAGGCCAAGGCAGGTGGACCACCTGAGATCAGGAGTTTGAGATCAGCCTGGCTAACATGGTGAAAACCTGTCTCTACTAAAAGAATACAAAAATTAACATACGCCTGTAATCCCAGCTACTGCTTGGGAGGCTGAGCTGGGAGAATTGCTTGAACCTAGGAGGCAGAGGTTTCAGTGAGCCGAGATTGTGTCACTGCACTCCAGCCTGGATGACAGTGTGAGACTCCATCTCGAAAAAAGAAAAAGAAGAAAGAAAGAAAGAAAGAAATGTAGTGACATTTTACATACTTTCTAAAATAAATAAGTAAATAAAGTTAACCAGGATGAGGAGGAGGCACAGAATAATATGAGGCCCAAAATGGAATACAAGCAATAACAAATGAACCTAACTGTATTACAAATGAATAATATAGCCTACAGAAGGGGAGGAAAAGGACCTAAGAAACTTGAGAAAATAGTGTCTTGACTGTGCATGTAAATACGCGAGGCTAAAGACAGAAAGAACTAGACAAATGTTATACTCTAGTTGGCAAATCTGTTTCCTATGGGGGTAACGGGTTAGCAATTCTGTAACCCTCCATGTATGGTTTGGACAAGTAAGTAGAGTGATCAACTCATCTTGATTTTCCTGGACTTCCCCAGGTTTAAAACAGAAATTCCCATATCTCAGGAGCCCTCCCAGTCCCAGAAAAATAAGAAAGGTTGGACACCCGATATACATGTGAATGTATTTTAGATCAGAAGGGTGAAATCTCATTGCTGGAGGGGGAAAAAAAAAGCTACCAATAAGAAAGGGAAAAGAATAAAATTAATCTTGGGGTATTGGATTGGAACTGGAGGTGTCAATATAAATTTGTGGTTTTTGATACAGAAATGAACAGCTGAGCATGTATGCGGGGGTTAGTACACACACACGTTTCCTAATTCTGCTTGCTTTGAGGCCTAAGGGCAATGACCAGGTAGCACAGGGATTTTGGTTTTGAAATACCATTCTCCAGTAAAAGAAACCAGGGCTCTTTGGAGAAGTTGATTCCAGACTGGGGTAGGGAAAAGGCAAGATAAGCCTGTGGTGCCAGATGTTAAGAAAGTGCTTGAAAAGAATGGGGTACATTAAAAGGACCCAGGAATCAACCTGAAGGAGCCCCCAGTTGCCAAAGCTGAAATAATTTAAGCAACAGGACCGGCATAGTGGCTCACGCCTGTAATCTCAGCACTTTGCGAGGTCGAGGTGAACAGATTGCTTGAGCCCAGGAGTTTGAGACCAGCCTGGGCAACATGGTGAAACCATGTTATTATAAATACAAAAAAACCCCATGCTATTAAAAATACAAAAATTAGCAGGGTGTGGCAGTGCATGCCTGTAAACCCAGCTACTCGGGAGGCTGAGATGGGAGGATCACTTCAGCCTGGGAGTTCCAGGCTGCTGTGAGCTGAGATCGCGCTACTGCACTCCAGCCTGGGTGACAGAATGAGACCCTGTCTTAAAAAACAAACAAACCTTAAGCAACAAAATAAATGATAGTATTGGATTATAACCCATAGAATAAAGTACATCACCATGAGTTCACACTGACAAATAAATAATTGGTAAATAAGTAAACAGGGAAGAAGGGACAGCTTTTCTTTACAAAAGAACTCAAATGTAGAAAGACTGAGTGAAGTGAAATCATCGTAAAAATTATTGTAGACAAAAATCCACTGATGGATGCTAAAATTAGTGGGCAAAAGTTTGAAGAGAAACAAAATGCTAGCCTTGTCTCAAGTATTTTCCCCAAGATATTTATCAATTACCAAGAAGAAAATGGTAACTTTACAGTAGAAAAACTTTGTACACACCACCTAGCCCAACTGATCAATGTTAATATCGCCCGTAATAAGACATTAATCTCAAGAAACCCCCGCTTTGATGCACTGGGAACAACAAAACACTGCTGTGGTGTTCTTGCCAAAAATTGTACAACCTCAATCTGAACATGAGAAAACATCAGACAAACCCAGACGGATATTTTGTGAAATACATCCCAGCCAGTGCTCATCGAAAGGGTCTAAAGCCTTGATGGATTAAGAAGGACCAAAAACTATCCCAGATTGGAGGACACTAAATGCCACGTGGAATCCTGGCTTGGATACCAGAACAGAAAAAGAATATTGGGGGAAAAATATGAAACTGGAATAAGGCCTATTCTTTAGTTAATAGTATAGACTGCGTACAGTGACTCACGCTTGTAATCCCAGCTCTTTGGGATTCTGAGGCTGAAGGACTGCTCTCTGAGGCCAAAAGTTTGAGACCAGCCTTGGCCACAAAGTGAGACCCCATCTCCACAGAATTTTTCAAATAGCCAGGCTTGGTGGCGCACGCCTGTAGTCCCAGCTACTCAGGAGGCTACGCTTGGAGAACCACTTAAACCCAGGAGTTTGAGGTTACAGTGAGTTATGCTTGCACCAGCCTCCGGCCTGGACAACAGAGTGAAACCTTGTTTCCAAAAAAGAAAAAAAAAAGTATAGTATCCACACTGACTTCATGGTTTTGATCATTATTGTATAATTTTATAATTTTTTAACATTAGAAGAAGCTGGGTCAATGGTATATGTAGGCTCTCTATACTATTTTTGCAGTTTTTGCACATAAAATTATGTCCAAATAAAACATAAAAATCTAAAAATAAAGATAAACTCACAGCCCTTCCCACTCTGAGGCCATTTCATAGTTGGTACCTGCTAACCAGCTGCCCCACCCCAAGCTCAGTGACAATAATAATCTCCCTGACCAGCCCTGTTACCCAGTACAACGCTGACACATCAAGGTGCTCAGGAAATTGTTGTTTTTTTCTGGCTTATCACTAGATAATAATATACCATTGTAAGTTACTTTGCTTGGTTAATGAATGCTTATTTGGTGACAAGCCGGTGGCAGGCTTTTCCCTCTTTTTTAAAGCTGGTCTAAGTCAGCATGAAATTTTCTCAGCCCGGGTATCTTGGCCTATAACCACAAGAACACTGTGAATTCTGGTTTTCTTTTCGTAATAAGATCCAACTCTATTATTAATTTTACAGTTGCAAGTAATGCTAGTCAGCATTTCTTATATGCCCACCCAGAATCATATTCAAAAAAAGGAAATCCACATTTGTTCCTGTAGGTATGGTTTTTAGATATCACCTTATAAAGCACTGAATTGTAAAATTCTGTTTTCTATGTCGCCCTTTTCATACACAGCAGAGACTTGTGATCCCCTAGAGGGCAGAAGGGCACAGCATGCATCCCTCAGTCACCTGCTTACCCTGTTTGCTCTCTGATCTTCCGTCCTCCACGGTCCAGTTCCTGGCTTCTGCTCTGCTGGAGTAACATAACTTGGCTCTCTCACCTGGAAAAAGGGAGAAGATAGTATCACAAAGCAGCATTGTGGCGAGGATTAGATCACAAGGTGCGTAGATAACCATTGTACAAAAGCATGCACAAGCACTTAGTAAATGCTCCTTTCCTTGTTTCCTTCAGTTTCTTCTGTGCCACTGGGCCTGCTTAAGCCATTAACATATAACAGCGTTTGGCATTAAATAAGGTTTGATGCAGGCCCCAAACTACAAATGAGAGGGACAACCTATAGGCTTACTGTTGCACGGTTTATAAACAATTGTAAGATTATATAAAGTGCCCTAACAAACTATAAGCTCAGCAAACACATCAACAATCTAAATATTCAGTATTAAAAATTCGATTGATAGGAAATATGCTGATGGCAGTACGCATCAAATTAAACATCTTCTGGGCAGTTGTATTCGTCTCTTATGGGAAATTTTCAAAGAGATGATTTGCATAATTCAGACCTCTTCTATTTGGGCTGATGACTTCTTCCTGATCAATTACTCAGTAGCACACAGAGACGTGTTCAGTGAAAATGTGTTATTAACCATGATAATTAAGATGGCAACGGTGTTTGATACTGATAAATTCATTTTAAAAGAATTAATCCTATTTTTGCCCTCTTTAACATCCACAATCTTCTTATTTAAAATTGTAATAGGTGTAGTAGCAAAAGTTTATTAAAAGCTTACTATATTATAGGCATTATTCTAAATCTTTCACATGTATTAACTCATTTGATTCTCCCCAAACCCTATTGTAATGATAACAGCTAGAGGTTCCATAGCATTTACTATGTGCCAGCAATTGTTCGAACACTTTATATGCATTAACTCGCTTACATCTCACAGCAGAACTGTGATGAAATTACAGTTGTTAACGCCTTTGTAAGAAGAAGAAAAGGAACTTCCTGAAGACTACAAGCTCAGCATCAGGCAAAATCAAAGTCCTGGGAAATAACAGATGCCATTCTGTCACTTTACTTTAGGCTGTCACAGGTCCTATTTAATTTTATGTCTGCCAACAAAAGAACACTTCACACTGTGTCCTAATAATGGATAAACTAGACCATTAAAGGGGACTTCAGATCCCCACCAGAGAATTGCTAAAATAAACATAATATCCTGAATATGCTTGATCTGTTTTCCTTTGTCATTTTTAACATTCTGCTGAATTTCTTGTCTCTGGATGTGTGTGTCTGTGTGTGTGTGTGTGTGCGCGCGCACGCGTGTGTACATATGTATGTGGGGGAGAAAGAGAGAGAGAGAGAGAGAGCACTCCCTTCGGTCTCCTGTCTTGACATCATGAAGAACTAAAACTGCTCTTTTCCCAAAGCCCTGAAAGCTGAAGCCAGACAACTCTCTCCATATATGCTTCTTATACTTCACAACAGATCATGTCTGGACAACCTTTGCTGGCTGCTGTGAGGGCCATTCAGAAAGTTCAACTAAACACCAAATGCCGCTACCAAAGATACTCAAATTGCAAACCAGGAAACCTATCAGATTGCCACATGCCTGCTACCTGATCCTGCTATAACCATCTCGCACCCAAAGGGGAGTTAGCACACTGAGGATGACAGAGGGGAAAGAGTCTGGGTCTTTGATGATACCATTAAGTAGGTGGACTAACAGATCCTAGAATTACTATATCTCTCTTATATAAGACAATAGTCTTATTGTGAAAGCTATTTTCAGCCTGGGTTTCTGTACTTGAAGCCAAAAACCTTCTGATACAGATCTATTAACTGTACTTATATTTCCCTCCATGTTTCATGTAATAGTTGTTTCATGGAGGGAAATATGAGTATAGTTAATATATAAGGTATATTATATATTATATGTTAAGGTATAAGTTAATATACCTTATCTTGGTATACTCTTCAGAGATATAAACATGCAAACCACACACACACACACACAAACACACCAGGAGGTCCCACTACAAATCAGTGCAGTAACAAACAATACCCAAATCTCAGTGACTTAAAACAACACATGTTTATTTCTTGCCATGCCTGTTGCTCATGTCTACTGTGAGTTGGCTCTGTGTCATCCTCTCTCTGGAACCGAGACTGATGGAGAGCACTAACTTGAAAAATTGCATCTCACTGCAGCAGAGGACAAAAGACATCCTACAGATCTCATGCTGGCAACTGGATGCTGTCGGCCAGAAGTGACACACATCATTTCCTCTTCCAACTCACTGGCCAGAACTAGTCACACAACCCTGCCCAACCACAGGATGAGGAAATACAATGGGACCATGTGCCTGGAGTGGGAGGAGACGTGGAACAGCACTAAAGACTACCAACATTTACTAAGTATTGAAGCTGCTAAATAGGGCTATTCAACAGAGGAGGAGAAATGAGGGGTGGCTGGTAAATAAGGGAAAGAGTTTGGTTGTTGTTAGCGTTTGTATTTTCTTAAACCTTGAAAGATTGAAGTATGACCATAGAGATAAGTGTACAAATTATAAATGTACAGCTCAATGAACTGTCGGAAAGTGAACTCTTTTGTAAAATTATCTCCTAGATCAAGAAATAAAATATTACCAGTTCCCTAGAAACCCACGTTGTGATCCCTCCAATTTCTACCTCTGTTCTTCCTCCCAGAGTTATCCTATAGACTGAAAATTTTAAAGAAATACACATTTTCACACACGTCATGAAGGAAGTAGAAAGTATCATTCCCCTGGGGTTTCTCTAAACCTTGGGGAGAGTGACTATATTGTTATTTTGGATAATTGAAACCTATAGAGGGTAAAGAATAGGTTTGAGTTTACTAGAAAGTAGCACAAACCAGGGAGAACAAGTGTAACGGGGGAGTGGAAGGGCCTCCTGAAGATGCTCCCAGTTCCCAGATCTGAAGTTCTTGGCCTCTCTTACCCCGAAGAATGAGGAAAGGGGTCCTGGAGGCCCGGTGAGTTTGCTGTTGGAATTAATATTGTGGACCCAATATTTGTGGAAAGTGATTTATTAGGCAGAAAGAGAGAGAGAGAGAGTGAGACAAAGAGAGAGAGAGATGGGAGAAAGAAGAGAGAGAGAGAGAGAGAGAAAGAAGAGAGGGGGGGGAGAGAGAGAGAGAGAGAAAGAGAGAGAGAGAGAGATGAGAGAAAGAAGAGAGAGAGAGAGATGAGAGAAAGAAGAGAGAGAGAGAGATGAGAGAAAGAAGAGAGAGATGAGAGAGGGAAGAGAGACAGAGAGAGAGATAGATGAGAGAAAGAAGAGGGGGGGGAGAGAGAGAGAGAGAGAGAGAGAGAGAGAGAGAGAGAGAGAGAGAGAGAGAGAGAGAGAGAGAGAGAAAGGAGAAACAGCTCCCATGCTGTCATGGGAGAGGATCCAGAGAAGGAAAGGAATCCTTATAGAGAAGGAGCAGCTGGAGTTTTAACCCTTGAGTTATTCCCGCCCCATTCATGTTCTTATCCAATGAGAGGAGTTCTTTCAAATTCCTCTGGAGTGATTGATCTTTGAATCTGACACCGGATTGGCTATTTAGTCCACAACAGAGCACCCCGCTCCCAGAGCTTTACGCAGGGTTTTTTTTTTTTTTTTTTTTTTTGAGGCGGAGTTTCGCTCTTGTTACCCAGGCTGGAATGCAATGGCGTGATCTCAGCTCATTGCAACTTCCGCCTCCTGGGTTCGGGCAATTCTCCTGCCTCAGCCTCCTGAGTAGCTGGGATTACAGGCACGTGCCACCATGCCCAGCTAATTTTTTGTATTTTTAGTAGAGACGGGGTTTCACCATGTTGACCAGGATGGTCTCGATCTCTAGACCTCATGATCCACCCGCCTCGGCCTCCCAAAGTGCTGGGATTACAGGCGTGAGCCACCGCGCCCAGTCCTGGGCAGGGTTTTTGGGCAAAGGAGCCCACCTGGATTTCTCTACCTAGCCCGCCGGGAAACCCAGACAAAGAACTTTACATTTCCGGATGGAGAGGTGGGGCCAGGAAACTTCTGCCTTTGAAAACCCGCCCCTTGCAGACTCGGGAAGAGTCCCTCACTAGGTTCACCATGTTCTGCAAGACTTGGAGGATGGACAGTTCTGCAAATGGAGATGATACAGATACTTGCTCCCCTGCACTCCTCGAGGTGTCAGGACCTGTGATGAAGCTGTATTTTGCTCCTTGGAAGTTAGCATTGACCATCTCGGCTTTGGAGTCTTGCAACCCAGGCTGAGGTAGTCTGAAATGCTGATGAGTTTCTCTGTGGCAGCTATGCCTGATGAACAACAGAGGGCCAGCCTCAACACTGGTACTGGGAAATGTAAGGAGAAAGGGAAATGATAGCAACCAAACTGGACTAAGACCAGGCCCTGCCCTATCTCCTGGTCAACACTCAGGATTCCCATTCTATACAATGGGGAGGTGCTGGTGGTGGTAGTTAAGTGTCCCAGTGATGACTGCTTTTGTATGTCCTCCCAGACAAGGAGGTGCGGGCACAAAGCCAGATATAATTTAGCTTAAAATGCAAAACAGGCCAGGCATGGTGGCTCATGCTTGTAATCCCAGTACTTTGGAAGGTAGAAGTGAATGGATCACTTGAGCTCAGGAGTTCAAGACCAGCCTGAGCAACATGGCGAAACCCTGCCCTCCTACAAAAAATACACAAATTAGTCAAGTGTGGTGATGCGTGCCTCTAGTTCCAGCTACTTAGGAGGCAGAGGTGGGAGGATCTCTTAGGCCTGGGAGGTCAAGGCTACAGTGAACCCTGATCTTGCCATTGCTCTCCACTCCAGCTTGGGCAACAGAGAAAGACCTTGTCTCAAAACAAACAAACAAACAAACAAACAAACCCCACCCTAATTAAACACTAAAAGACAACAATAACAAAATTATACTGTTTCTTGTCCCTGGATTTAAGGAGCAAATTTAAGTGGAGCCATGTCTGGACTCAGCAGAAAGTGCTGCAGTTTAATGTCGACCATGGTGCATCTAAAGCTATGCTGTCTGCCATCCTCGTTGTGGAGTTTGGCAAAATCATGTTCCTCTCCCTCCTCACTACCCAGATAGGAAAGGAGATACAGTGGTGGGTAAGGCTTCTTTCCTCACTTGTTATCTGAGCAGAGCAGAGTAATTCCATCTTCCTCCAATGCCAAGTGGACCGTGATTGTGAACTTGTTCTCAAAATGCAGTTTCACCTCCCTGTTGTTTTTGATGTCCAAGTCTGAGGTAAGGCAGCAGAGCAGAGGGTTGACACTGTGTGCGTTCTCTGTGAAGTACCCTGAAATAAACTGGGGAGGGGGCACACAATGAGTGCATCATCTGAGTCCAACCAGAGAAGCTGATGAATATGTAAATATAATTCATTTGAAACACAATTATAAGAGCTGGCTAGCAGCCTCCACAAGGCTATCTCCTTTACTAATGTTTGAGCCTGAAGTCCACGAGGAGGCAGGCAGAGGGAGGAGAGCTGATGAGAGCAGCCTAGAAACCCACCGGGCCAGACTGAAACCCATCCTTTTTTTTCCCTCTCACCTTGATGATGAGGGTATCCTGCAGAAGCTGAGGCCCTGTGCCATGTTGCTGAACAAGTAAACACCCAGCTCAGGGGTCAGAGAAGCTGTAGGAAGGTCTAGGGGGAAGGGAGGGCAGTGTCAGGCCCAACCACTGCTTCATGTCAATGGGGCGAGTCAGCAGATCAGCAAAACCTGTCCATGCGCTGCAAGATGGCTGCCCCCGCCATGCCGCCTTCCACTCTCATGAGAGAATAGCCCTCTAGCTCTTCCTAACTGGAAACATGGGAGAAAGAATTCTGGGAAATGTAGTCTAGCCTAGCCAAGTTAGCACATTCCAAAGCCACTGGACTGGGCATTGAGCCAAGCCTCACTAAGGCTACGTACGGCTCTGCCCACTTCTCAGGAAGTGAGTTTGGTCTTTAAACCAACACCATGTCCTCCCAGCCAAGTTTCCCCAGCTGTTTTCTGCTCCTGCTAGCAGAGCCGCTTATGTTAGTCCAGGCCAAGGAGCAGACACCCAGATGGAACACGTGCAAGATATTTACTAGCGGAAACACTATGAAAGAAAACAGGGAGAAAGCCGAGAGAGGCTCGGAGAGCTTTCGCACCATAATGAGAATCCAACCGCGGGGAAGGAAGAAAGGAAGGCTGGATAGAAGTGACAGACTTTGATGCAATTCTAAGGAAAGTTGGGCAAGACTGCCTGTCAGAGGCCCCTGCATTTCCCTGAGACACGTCTGCTTTAGTATCCCAGTGCACTTAGGAGCAGCATTTGGGAAGAGTGACCCGCAAAAAAGGCAGAGATGGATTTCAGAGCCCAGTGTTGGGGGCCCTCGATCAATTGCGCTCTCTGCAGGAGGAGGTCCAAGGGAGCCTTGTTCCGGCCATGCTGCCTCCTTCTCATTTCTTGCTTTGATCAAAACTCAGAGCCAGCCCACCTTCCTCTTTTGGAGCATCAGAAGTAACCAGCGAGGGCCAGGAGTCTTGCTGGCACCCTTTTGTCCAGTGCCTGATTTCTGTTCAGTCAGGAGAAGCCTTGTTAGGAGTACATGGTGGCCATACTTGGAGGTGAAGGGAGTTCCAGAGTATTCAAGGAAGATGGAATTGCCTTGATCATACAATGGGTCTAACCTAGGTCATTTCATGAAAGCGTTTGGCTAAATATTAAACTGATGCCCTGTGATTTATTACATGTTGCTTAAGGAAAAAAAAAAAACAAAACAGAACCAGTGAAGCTTTCTGCAATGAAGGGGGAAGTATGGGATTTGCTAGAGATAGGGATTTGGAAAATATAGGTCAAGGCATTTTCTGCAGTCTTTTATTTCTATTCTCTTGAGAAATCAAAGGTAAGCATCTGTAACAAATGAACGTAATGAAATGGAAATAATTTTTGCCTAGGCATCGGAAAGTGAAGGATTCATTAAAATGTTAACTCCTGGAAGGCAAGGATTGTTTTTCCAAAGCTGTGTGCCACCTAGCAGGTATCTGTACAGAACAGGACATAGTTGCTCTTGGGTGGTGAGTCTATCGAATTTTTGGCTTCTTTTCATAGCTGCATAACAGCAAAAATAATTTCACATTGTTCATGTGAAATGTGGGGTGGAATGCACCCCAGCCTTACCAAGACCTGCTATTAGTATCTTGTGTTCTTAGCAAACAAACTCCACTTTTGCAATAAGTGCACAATACACGTTTGCAGTTCTACTTTTTCTGTAATGCTCACTGACCAGCGATTTTTCCCATCAAGCATACAGTCCCCATCATGATTACTCATCTACGCAAAGATGGAGTGTGAGTTGCTCTATTGACCTTTGTTCTCAGTTTTCTGCCTGTAGGGTCAAATTATGCATTTTTAATGAGCATTCATCTCATTTTGTTCAATGAAAATATGAAAGGCTGATTTGCTAGATTGTTGAAGCCTGTACTGACAGCTAGCAAATGTAAGAGAATGATCATCGAGAAATCATCTCCCCTCCAGTGTCCCTGCCTAACAGGAAAAACACAGAGGAAAATTGTCTTTATTCCCTGTTAAGCCCTAAAAATGGGAACAACAGTTCCTTTGGATTCAGATTCCCTAGAGAGCATTTGTGTTTTCAAGTTTACAGATGAATAAGCCTCACATGCTCATTAGGACCCATCGACCTCCTAATCAGTGCAGGAGATACTGAAAAGCAACCCTCTGTTAGTAATTTCTGGCTAGGGCACTAACTGTCTCAAAAGAACTTGCTGTCTCCTGATTTAGAGCAGTCCCCTGGGTTTAGCAATGTTTGCAGAAGCTTGATAAACAGTCTGTTCTGACACACTGCAATTGCTGGCAGCTTCACACCAGGATCCTCATCAGGTTTAAAGACTGAGAAGTGAATTTACTAATATCTCCCAGTCAGGGCCCTGCACTGGTGCAACAGTTATCAAGAATCGGGATGAAGAATAAATTGGGGCTGGGCGCGGTGGCTCATGCCTGTAACCCCAGCGCTTTGGGAAGCAAAGGTGGGCAGATAACTTGAAGTCAGGAGTTCAAGACCAGCCTGGCCAACATGGCAAAACCCTGTCTCTACTAAAAATACAAAAAATTAGCTGGGTATAGTGGAGTACACCTGTAATCCCAGCTACAAAGGAGGTTGTGGTAGGAGAATCACTTGACCTGGAGAGGCAGAGTTGTACTGAGCCAAGATCGTGCCACTGCACTCCAGCCTGGGCAACAAAGCAAGACTCCGTCTCAAAAAAAAAAAAAAAAAAAAAAAAAAAAGAATGAATTAGACACATGCTGAGAGCCCCAACCTTGGATTACTTAGAAAACAAGCCTGAATATCTTTCCCATTGATAACAGCATCTCTGTTTTCCCATTCTCTTGCACTTCATTCTTCATAGCTGGGCTGGTCAATTTTGCTGGAAAAAGTCTCTCATAGCTGTCTCTTTCTCTCCTTTTTTCTTCCACAATCAGGGCCTGTATTCAGCCATGTTGTAAGGTACAAGAAAAGCCATCATAGCTGGCAAATAGCCACTGGTGAGTGTTCCTCTCACCCCATATCAGCCCTGTGCCTCTCTCCTGAGACCCAGCCCACACTGGAGCCTCCAGCCTGGTTAGATGATCTGCTCTGCATAGGCCCTTACCACCTGTGATGGGCTGATAAAAGTCCCCCAGAGACAGCAGGTCTGTGGAAGCTTACTATAAAAGTCAAACACCTGTGAATATTATTTTACATGGTCAAAGATGTGATTAAGGGAGGGATTTTGAGATAAGGAGATTGTATTGGATTATTTGGATGGTCTCGAAATGCACTCACATGTAGCCCCCTAAAAAGGAGGCAGAGATTTGACAGCTGACACACAGAGAAGACCATGTGAGTATGAACAGGGAGAGATTTGAAGATATTGGCCTTGAGAATTGAAGCAATGTAGCCATAAACCCAAGAATATCAGAGCCACCAGAAAACTTTTTTTTTTTTTTGAAATGGAGTCTTGCTCTTGTCTCCCAGGCTGGAGTGCAATGGCACAATCTCAGCTCACTGCAACCTCTGCCTCCCAGTTCAAGCAATTCTGCCTTCCTCAGCCTCCCAAGTAGCTGGGATTCCACCTTGCTAATTTTTGTATTTTTAGTAGAGACGGGGTTTCACCATGTTGGCCAGACTGGTCTTGAACTCCTGACATTGTGATCTGCCTGCCTTGGTCTCTCAAGTGCTGGGATTACAGGCATGAGCCACCATGCCCGGCCCAGAAACTGTTAAGAGGCAAGTAACACATCTTAGCTTACAGTTATCGGAAGCATGTTCTTGTTAACAACACAGTTTGGCCGGGCACGGTGGCTCAAGCCTGTAATCCCAGCACTTTGGGAGGCCGAGGCGGGTGGATCACGAGGTCAAGAGATCGAGACCATCCTGGTCAACATGGTGAAACCCCGTCTCTACTAAAAATACAAAAAATTAGCTGGGTATGGTGGCGCGTGCCTGTAATCCCAGCTACTCAGGAGGCTGAGGCAGGAGAATTGCCTGAACCCAGGGGGCGGAGGTTGCGGTGAGCCGAGATTGCGCCATTGCACTCCAGCCTGGGTAACAAGAGCGAAACTCCGTCTCAAAAAAAAAAAAAAACAAAAAGAAAACAAAAAAAAAAACAAAAAAACAAAAAAAAACAAAACAACACAGTTTCCGTCTTCTGTGAAATCCAGAACTGTGAGAGAATAAGTTTCTGTTGCTGCAAGCCACCCAGTTTGTGGTAATTTGTTATAGCAGCCCCAAGAAACGAATATACCACCTTGCACCAGAATCATAGCAGCCTGTTGCCTTTTTTGTTTTTTTGTTTTTTCTTTTTGAGACAGAGTTTCACTCTTGTTACCCAGGCTGGAGTGCAATGGCCCGATCTTGGCTCACTGCAACCTCCACCTCCTGGGTTCAGGCAATTCTCCTGCTTCAGCCTCCTGAGTAGCTGGGACTACAGGCACGCGCCACCATGCCCAGCTAATTTTTTGTATTTTTAGTAGAGACGGGGTTTCACCATGTTGACCAGGATGGTCTCGATCTCTTGACCTTGTGATCCACCTGCCTCAGCCTCCCAAAGTGCTGGGATTACAGGCGTGAGCCTCCGCACCCGGCCTGTTTTTTTTTTTTTTTTGTTTTTTTTGAGATGGAGTCTCACTCTGTTGCCCAAGCTGGAGTGCAGTGGTCCGATCTCAGCTTACTGCAACCTCTGCCTCCCAGGTTCAAGCTATTCTCTTGCCTTAGCTTCCTGAGTAGCTGGGATTACAGGCACCCGCCACCACACCCAGCTAATTTGTTTTGTTTTGTTTCGTTTTTAGTAGAGATGGGATTTCACCATGTTGGTTAGGCTGGTCTTGAACTCCTGACCTCAAGTGACCCACCCATTTCAGCCTCCCAAAGTGCTGGGATTACAGTTGTGAGCCACCATGCCCAGCTCCAGCTGACTTCCCGAAGGCCAGTTCTCTCCTCCCTAACTTGCCTTGTGAACTTAATTTTCCTGAGCTCCTCTGCGTGGTTTCCAAAACTCTTCTTCTGTCTTACTGGCACAGCTTTAGTTTCCAGGAATGGTAATGATAATGATAATAATAACTATTGAGTGCTTTCTGTGTGCTAAGCACTGTGCTGAAAGCTTTATTGCAAGTATGACATTTCATTCTGGCCACAACACACTGAGTTTAGCCTTATTGTGCTTACTTTACAGGAGAGGAAACGGATGCCCAAAGAAGTTAGGTCACTGCTCACATGAATGACAGAGCTGTGGGCACCCGTGTTCTCTGCCAGTGTACAGTGTGTGTTCTCCTCCCAACTGCTTGTGTAAAACCCTCATTCCAGACTCAGCGCATGTCCCACCTTCTCTACAAACCAATTTCTATTCTTTCATAAAATATCATCTTGAAATATAATAAAAAAAAATTTTTTAAACACGTTCAAAGTACTCTTTTTTTTTGAGACAGAGTTTTGCTTTTGTCACCCAGGC